TACTTCTAGTCTTTTTATTTTTTATTTTGAGACAGGGTATCATAAGTAACTGAGACTGGCCTGGAACTTGCAATCTTCCTGCCTCAGCCTCCCAAGTAGCTGGGATTACAGGCCTGCACCACCATGCCTGGCTAATGCTAGTTATTTACTAAGCATTTGTATGGTCAAAAGTCCTTTACAAGTGTTTAATTTTCATAACAACTATTATCCTCATTAGATACTATTACTCATTTTAAAATTAAGGAAACAGAAGCTCAGGATTTGCACAAGGTCACACAATAAAAAACAAGGAGGTTTGAAATATTGGTGTCCCTGAAGCTCATATGATTGTCACCATAAAATAATGCCACTGATAGTCTGACACAAGTACAAAACAGATGATGTCCATGTTGGACAGATCAGACTTCTTTTAATTTAAGTGTTAAGACTGAAAATACAAACTAGAAGTGTAAAAATGATGCCATAAAAAGAACACAGAATGTGTTTCAAGAGGAAAAAACTGTTTAAAGACCCCCCCCCATTTTTTAATTGCCCAATTTACTTTGAGGTAATTTCCACAAGCAGATAAATGAAATGTAGCTTTATTTTGGCATCAATGTTGCTAGGGATGTAGTAGCTCAGTGATAGAGCACTTGCCTAGCATTCATGAGGCCCTTGGTTTGATCCACAAAAGAAAACAACTATAATTTCCATGTTAGATAAACAATAAACACTTAAAAAAATTCAGATAATAGACATGTATCTAGACTTGATGTCTAATAAGGGCAACCCTCTTTCTAAAAAGAAAACACTAAATATTTCAGTCTCTCTTATCTGAACCTCAAATTTCTGCCTTTGAAGTCTTTGGTTTCTTTCAAAGGCAGCAATCAGGGGCATCCTGGCCCCGATCTCGTTCTCTAAGCGTACTACACTGGTGGGTGCAAGGTACCATACCAGAAAATGCCATCAATTATTTTCCAAATATATGTAGAAACAAGTACTTCTAAAATACATTATTGGAAGGTCAGTTAAGATAAAATTGTTTTCTGCAGGACACCAAGTGATCACTTACCACCTTTTACTCAAACCAAAAGAAGCTTAATAAAAGAAYATGAAGCAGGGCTGACGATGTAACTCAGGGGTGGAATGCTTAACCTAGTGTGTGCAAAGCCCTGGGTTCAATCTCCAGTACCAAAACAAAGAATAACAACAACAACAACAAAAAAGAAGAAACTGACAGCCATGCTTATAGATTTTTTTTTAAACCACCAAGGTAGATTATTTTAAAAGCAAACTTTATCTTATTTTCATTATGGCAAGTCTGAGATATTTTCTCTGTGAGATGAAGATAACTTTGGATAAGGAAGAAGGGTTTTTGCAATTAAGTGATAACTTATGTAAACTTTTATATTGAAGTAGTGACCTGACAAATGAAGATCTTGCATTGAGCACAACAAAATTGTTCTAATGCTTTATAGATAATATTAATATATTTGCTTAAGATTATCTTAAGATAATCTTAAAAAGTTTAAGATTATCTTCTTATTTTTCAGGTTTTCCTTTCCAGCTCATAAATTTGATGATTTATTGAACAAAAACTGATCAAGTACTACTACATTAGTGACAAAATGTCTACAGCAGATCTAAGATATACAAATTCTGTAAYAAAGTTTTATTAAGAAACAACTGGTGGGGCTGGGGATGTGGCTCAAGCGGTAGCGCGCTCGCCTGGCATGCGTGCGGCCTGGGTTCGATCCTCAGCACCACATACAAACGAAGATGTTGTGTCCGCCGAGAACTAAGAAAAAATAAATAAATGTTAAAATTCTCTCTCTCTCTCTGTCCCCCTCTCTCTCTCACTCTTTCTAAAAAAAAAAAAAAAAAAAAAAGAAACAACTGGTGGGGCTGTGGTTGTGGCTCAGCTCAGTGGTAGAGTGCTTAGCCTAGTATGCACGAGGCACTGAGTTCAATCCTCAGCACCACATAAATGTAAAATAAAGATATTGTGTCCACCTAAAACTTAAGAATAAATATTAAAAAAAAAAGAAAAAAACTGGTGATGGGCTGGGGTTGTGTGGCTCAATAGTAGAGCACTCGCCTAGCACGTGTGAGGCCTGGGTTTGATCCTCAGCACCACATAAAAATAAATAAGATAAAGGTATTGTGTCCAACTACAACTAAAAAATAAATATTAAAAAAGGGAAATAATTAGTGAGTACTGAGGCATTTAATACTATTAGAAAAATGTAATACAAATCCATGAATTTAGAATGCCACTTCAGAATATAAATTCCACTACTTTCAGCAAAATGCCTGATTTCACTATCTTCTCTACTGTTATAAAGGGAATAAAAAATAAGGTAGGCTGGGTATGGAGGCACACACCTGTAATCCCAGCAGCTGGGGGAGGCTGAGACAGGAGGATTGAGAGTTCAAAGCTAGCCTCAGCAATGGCAAGGCACTAAGTAACTCAGTGAGACCCTGTCTCTAACAAGATACAAAAGTTGGGCTGGGGATGTGCTTCAGTGGTTGAATGCTCCTGAGTTTAATCCCTGGTTACCTAGCCCCCCAAATAAGATAAAGTCAATACTCAATAAAAATTGTGACTAGGGTAAATAACATCAGAAATCTAAACTAACCAGAACTATTCTATGTTATATCATTAAATTTGTATTGCCAGCCTGGTGTGGTGATGCATGCCTATAATCCCAGCTATTTGGGTGGCTAAGGCAGAAGGATTGCAAGTTCTAGGCCAGTCTGAGTAACTGAATGGGACTCTATCTCAAAATAAAAATTAAAATAGGGCTGGGGAGGTAGCTCAGTAGCAGAGCGTCCCTGAGTTCAATCCCCAATATGGCAAAATAAATAAATCAACAAATAAATAAAACAAAATACATTGTRCATTTGCAAMTTAGAGTCCACATATATGAACACATATATATGTGTAGTTGTAGATGAACACAATATCTTTATTTGTTCATTTTTATGTGGTGCTGAAGAGGAAATCCAGTGCCTCATAAGTGCTAGGGAAGCACTCTACCACTGAGCCAAACCCCCAGCCCCCAGGGTCTGCTTTTTGGTGGTGGTGTGTTTGTGTCTGTAAATAAAATATTTTTTTGCTTTACTGGCCCAGATCTTTCATAACAGTGTATTAAAAGAATAAAAAAGTTGACTTTCAAATGCTTTCCCCATGTGGCTATACATGTTGGAACACAATTTTAATAGCCTGCCTGCTAACTAGAATGACTCCTCAATATTTAACATCCATTTTCTCTTGAGCACAAAAGGTCATTTCGTAAAACACAGGTCTGAGTCAAAAACTGAAAATCAAGAATAAGCAAAAGGTACCCACAAAAGGGCCAACCAAAGGGGGCTGGGGTTGAGGCTCAGTGGTAGAACTCTTGCCTAGCATGTGTGAGGCACTGAGTTTGATCCTCAGTACCACATAAAAAAATAAATAAATAAACAGAATACAGGTATTGTGTCCATCTACAACTAAAAAAGAAATTCTTAAAAAGAAAAAAAAAGGCCAACCAAATCATAAGCAGTGACAAGTGATTAAAGCCAAAAGACCAAGTTGCTAAGTTATAAGGAAACTGCTGTTCATTTGGACCTTATCCCAGAACACAAAAATTTGGAGGAGAAACGCTGGCAGTTTAAAGAGAACAAGAATTCCAAATCTGCTGGCTCATTCCTTTATCTACAGAAGCCTCTGATACTGTTTCTATGCAAATGACCATAACCTCGCTGGAAAATTTGTGGCACTTCAATTCTCTCTTAAACAGGTGGAAATCTATTGTTAGGAAAACAGAAACGACCAACCTGAGAATCTGCCAAAGGAGACAATGAAGCATTTTAAAATCTCTCAAAAATTCTTCCTCTGGCAACGCCCCTCCCCTCTTTTCTTCCTTTAAGAACCTCCACCTGCCCGTGGTGCATATTCTTCAAGAAGACATCTGCACTGCAGATCTCTGCACGAGGCCAGCCAGCTCCCATCAGCAGGCAGACGCGGATACAATGGAAACTAAAGGAGGCCTGCAGTTTCCCTTCTAGTCCTTCAGAGATGGGAGGAGAAGGGGGTTCACCAGCCCCTGCTTTGTCTGAATTTTCTCCCCTCCCCCCTTTCTGCAGTACACATCCTCTTTTGTCATACTGCGATCAATAACAGCCCAGAGAAAATCTGAAATCAAAACATGTTGATGGCTTGGCATGACTCTATTTATTATTTTCTAGAATATAAACGACTGATTGCGCGTCCCTACCCCCACGCCACGCCAGTGAAGAGCCGGCTGTGTTGCAGATGCAGCCACGGATCCATCTTGGACCATCAGAAGCTCCCTCCCAAATCTTCCCAGAGCTATTCTCATCACGCCTCCTCTACCTTGGAGTCTCAGAAAAATCAGGCCTTTACGTAGAGTCCAGTCGAAAGCAGTAAAGAAAACGGGCGACAACGCTTCCATTAAATTTCCCCATCCTCCCCAGGGGCAAACAAAAATATTTTTTTTGGAAGACTATCAGGCACGTCTGATTATGTCAACACCTGACTGCAAACCTGCAATGCAACCCTTTCGCCACCATCCCTCAAAATCATAACGAACCATTTCTCCCAAGACCCACCTGCCCCAATCCTCTCAACGTCGCTAATCTTACTCCTCGGAATCACCCCGGTCCAGCGGGTGGCTCTGGCCTCCTCCAACACGGCCCAAGCCCCACCTGAGCGACCGTCCGTTTCATCCCAACCTCGCGGGGCGGCTGTTTTCCCACCTGCCGGGTCTCGGCGTGAACGCCCACTCTCCAGACCGTCTTCCCGCCCCCAACCTGTTTTCCTCACACCCCGTTATTTCCTCACCGCCCGAAAGACCTTTCGCTCCCCTCCCCCTTTGCCCATTTTCCAAACGTTTGTCCCCCGGGGTTGAAGCCACCAGCAGCCGAGTGTAACTCGTCCTCTCCGGTCGCTCCCGAAAGCCCCCGGCCCCAGCTCCCCTTCGTCCCCAGGGCGGGGGCTTCCCCGCACGCCTCACCCGCACAAGAGGAGCCGCAGCTTTTCGCCCCCAGGGCGGGGCTGGCTCCCGGGCTCCCTCCACCGCCGGCCGCGGACGGATCGGCCCCGGAGGACGACGAGGAGATGGACGGGGACTGAGTGGCCGCCGACGACTCCGCCATGGCTACGCGAGCAAGGGCGGGAGAGGGGTGAAGAGAGACGTGGGGCGGGAGACAGGGAGGGGAAATAGAATAAGTAGGCAGCAGGCTCTCCRAAGTCCCTTCGCTCAGCCTGTTCCGAAGACAGACTCCGACAGACTGACTGACTGACTCAGCCGAGCACAGCGCGAGGGAGAGCGAGCACGCATGCGCACAAAGAACTCTAGAACGCGCGGCGGGGGCGAGAGGCAACTGCGGAGGCGCGCAGCGGAGCAGTGCGCAGGCGCAAGAACTGTCCCTCGGCGCTCCAAAAGGAAGGAGAGGTAAAACCGACCACGCGCCAAGCCTCAAGCGGCTGGGGTGGGGCGCGCCTCGAGAGGACGGGACGCAAGAGGCGTGGTCAATCATCAAGCCACGCCCACCACTGCGGCCCTAGGCGTTGGCGCGGACGCTGCGGGGTAGAATTTTTTCACGGCTCTTTATGTGAATGTTTTCGACTGGATGGATTATGTATTTTTATAATAGATATTTCTTTATGCTTCCAGTAGCTGGAAACGATCTTTCCCATAAATTCCCGGAGCCTGATATCTTTTGTGTGATGCATTCCCCCTCAGAATCTGAAGTGAAAACCGCAGGGTAGAGAAGGCCCACTCTGCAAGGTGCTTTATGAATTTCTCTGAATATGTCATAATATCGCCTCACTGTGAGACACAGACAGCCTCATGGTCCCGCTTTTAGTAGGTGGAAAAAGATGTTCTACAGAAGAAAAAACTACTATTCATTCTAATCACATTGCCGTGCAGTCACAGACCCTGCTTCATATTCTTGCCTTGTTGCTGTTCTTGTCCACCTTGAGTCTTAAGGTTGTCTCTTCCTCTAAATAGGCTCTAAGATAGAGAAAATGTATTTTGGAGAAGAAAAAGCTGAACTCATGAAGATAGAAAAGCAAGGAGATAACATCCTGGATGTGATTCTAAGGGACCGGGAGTGGGAAGGTGTTACAAAATGTGTTATTAAAATTTAAGAATAGGGCACAAATACGCATGATTTTTCGTAACCAAAAAAGGGTCCTTAGCAGAAATGTATTTGAAACCAAATATCCAATTATCTTGGATTTGTTTTTTTTTTTTTTCTCCTTTGTTGGCTTGTCAAATTCAAAGCTATCTCCCTACATCTGGACAAAATATTTTAAAGGTGCATAGCCTTTTAAAAAGGGGAATGTATCCTGGAAATAATGAAAGCCAAGGTTGTAGCCTTTGCTATTGCTAAAGCAGGGATCGATGACCCAAAGTGCAATTGCAGGTTCAGCAAATCCTATAAAGATGCAACCTCATGAGTGGGGAGGTTGTCAGCCAGGCTGCTGCGGAGGAGAAAAAGCAATCTGACCAGTGGAAATCTTTTAGAACACAGGCTGTGAACTACATCTGCCCTTGACAGTTTTTAAAGTCACATAAAGCCCAGAAAGTGGGGTGGAAAGRAAAAAAGGAAGAAAGAAAACAACAACAACATCCAAGTGGTTGCAATGCTTTGAGGAAGGCACAGAAGAATATGTCCCAAAATAACTTCCTGACAAATATCTTACCCTGGTGCTCACAGCATCAGCTGATGATGCAGCAAACTGTCCTTAGATGGTAAAGGGAAATAGAAGCCGATGTGATATCCAAGCCAATTATCTACCTATGCTGACAAATGCATAAGTTTTAAAAATCTTTTATTAAGTGTTAGGAAATTATGCTAATACCTAACCCTGACAGTGCTTGCTAGAAACTGGGGCTCCTAGGTGGATAGAAATCTCATTCCTGATAGTCATAATAGAAAATAATCTACCTTATCGATTCATTTCTCCCCTCTGAAGGAGTACCCTAACTACCATTAGGGACAGGGGCCTCTACCACTCTGGCTACTTCAAGTTGGAAAGGGGCATTAGGAGATGCCTGTCAGCGTCCTTTATAGAGGTCAATCTAAGGGGCCCTGGTAGATGAGAGATTTCATTTTGGATATTTATCTGTAGGGCCATCTGTAGTTTGGGCATCAGGCAGTCCAGAGGTCTATGGTGGCAGTGAAGTGAGATACAGGGCAGGGATCATATAGAGTTGCAGGATCCTTAGAGAAGTCCTGTCATTCTCTGGGTTCTGGCTGACCTTGGAGGACAAGGGCCAAATATTGGCTGCTTTTTCCTCAGTCCTTTTACTTCCTTGACCTAGGTCTCCAAGGTTTGGTTTCAAATATCCAGCAGACCAGTTCCACCAGTCTTAAAGTAGGAGTAATAGGTTTTAACTTTGAAGTTTATAATTTTACAGTTACTCTTTCTGTTGAGTTAGGGCGAGTTTCAGTGCTAGAAGTCACCATTATATCCTATCTGTCCTGGAGATGATGGCTTATTGGTCTTAACTTGGGTTGTTTTATTAGAAGTAGTCTCTCTCTCTCTCTCTTTTTTCTTTTAGTTGTCAATGGACTTTTATTTATTTATATGTGGTGCCTCACACATGCTAGGTAAGCGCTCTGTCAGTGAGCCACAAACCCAGTCCCAGAAGTAGACTCTTTAAGCACCTCAGAGATCTTTTTTTTTAAACAAGAAGCCTTAGTGGTTAAAGTTGAAGAGGAAGAAGAAAAAGTAGTAATAGTAGAAGAGGGGGCAATGGGAAGAAGAGGAAAAAGTATAAAAAGAAACACATTAAGGGGCTGGGGATATAGCTCAGTTGGTAGAGTGCTTGCCTCACATGCACTAAGCCTTGGGTTCAATCTCCAGCACCACATACACACACACACCAAAAAAATAAATAAATAAATAAAATAAAAAATAAAAATAAAAATAAATAAATAAATAAATAAAAAAGAGAAGAAAGAAACATATTAAGGCAGAACTGCTTTCTGGAGAAGGGCCATACACCAGCACAATTCCTAATCCAGAGAAGAAGAAGGAGGAGGACAAGAAAGACAGACGATAATGAGGACTACTGGGAAAGAATCCTAATTCTGTTAYTTAGACACATCATGCTTAAGATTCAGTTGGGAGTACCAGACATGCTCTCTAAAATAATCAAAGGGAGATTGAATGAAACAGTGGTTAATCATCTATAGCTTTTCAAACTTTTTGTGTCTTGACATTATATCATCATTTCTTAGAGTCTTTGAAAATAAATATATTTTCTTTGTATTGGTAACAAAACAAAGCAAAACAAAAGAAGCATTTGTGCTAAGTCCAACTCCTGAGGCTGTTTTTTCTCTTTCCTGCTATGCCAACTTCCCTGAGACTGATATTTCCTTGGGATATTTGTTCATGTGATTTATTTCATAGATGTTTACTGATCACCTGTTAGTGTGACACTATCCTGGGATCTTTGTAGGGACCCCAAACTATGTTTATCCAGTCTTCAATGAGCTAACAAGCTAGGGCATAGAACATACATAAAGTTAAATAATACCAGTTAAATAGCAACCAACACCAACCCTAAACAACACAAAGCCATAGTGCTTCGATCAGGTGGCAAGTGGACTGTATGAATTTAACATAGAGAAGGGYTGGGGATGTAGCTCAGTAGAGTGGTGCTTGCCTTTTATGTGCAAGGCCCTGGATTGGATCCCTACCATTTCAAGGTGGGGGGGTGGGAGACAGGAAGTCAGGTATGCAGACAGACAGACACACCCTGTGGAATGGCAGTTTAGAAAGGGTTTATGAAAAAGTCCAAAGTTGGATAGGAGTTTAGAGTTGTAAGAATGTCATTAAAGGCCCAGAAGGATGGTTTGAAGCAAACATAGGGTTGCTTTTGTGCATGCATACAAAAAGGCACCCTTCTGGGCAGACAAATCACATAAAAGAACCATTTCCTCCCAGTACAGCCCACAGTGCAGTTCCATGCTTACTTGCTCAACAGAACATGGCCCAGATTTGATCCCCTCTTGCCCCTCCCCTGTATGACTGCCATGATGGATATACAGACTGCACAACCACACATGGTAGCTGGAGGCTCAGAAGTGTGATGTGTGTGAGATCTTTTGAGTGCTGGGTCAAGATATAAAGGGGGAAGATATTTTTGGACCAGAGTTTGGAGAAGCAATAGTATTTCACTAAAGAATTGAGGCTTTTCCAGGCACAGTGGGGTATGGTGAGGCATTCTATGGCTGCAATCCCAGCTCCTCAGGAGGATCCATCACAAGTTCCAGGCCAGCCTCACTAACTAAGTGAGGCCCTAAGCAACTTAGCAAGACCATCTCTCAAAACAAAAACAAAGAAACAAACAAACCACAAGACTTTGTCTTAAGGCTTAAGGCCAATGGGGATTCAGTGAAAGTTTTGGGACAGGGAATGGCTCAGATGAGTTTTTCTTTTTTTTTTAGTTGCTGATGGACCTTTATTTTATTTATTTGTAAGTGGTGCTGAAAATTGAACCCAGTGCCTCACACATGCTATGCAAGTGCTCTTCCACAGAGTTACATCCCAACCCTCTATTTTTTTTGTTAATAAATATATATTTTTTAGTTGTCGATGAGTCTTTAGGTATGTATGTATGTATGTATGTACTTACTTATATGCAGTACTGAGAATCAAACCCAGTGCCTCACACATGCTAGTCAAGTGCTCTACCACTGAGCTACAACCCCAGCCCCCTCAGATGAAATTTTTTGAGAGTGAGAGTGTGAGAGTGTGTGTGTGTGTGAGTGTGTGTGTGTGTGTGTGTGTGTGTGTGTGAGAGAGAGAGAGAGAGAGAGAGAGAGAGAGAGAGAGAGAGAATTTTAATATTTTTTAGTTTTCGGCGGACACAACATCTTTGTATGTGGTGCTGAGGATCGAGCCCAGTGCCTCACGCATACTAGGCGAGTACTCTACCACAACCCAGCCCCTCAGATGAATTTTTGACAATTATTTTTTTCTTCTTCTTTTTTTATTCAGACATTTGTACATCTTTATACCCTAATTCAATACATTCATACATTATGTAATGGACAAATCTCAGTATTACGTACTTCCATCTCCTCAAACATTATTCATCTACATCTCTTGGGAATTTTGCTCCCTTCTAATTATTTTGAAACATAGTGCAGATTATTTTAACCAATAGTTACCCTACTATGCTACAGAAAACCAAAACTTATGCCTCCTTGCTGCATGTTGATGCCCCCTGTGTAACTTCTTTCTATCCCTTCTCCCTCCCACCCTTTCCAGTCTCTAGTGACCATTACTCTACTTGGTTCTTTTTTAG